GCTTTACGTTGATGATATGCTTATTGTGGGCCAAGACACGAGTAAGATTAGCAAGTTGAAGTCAGAGTTGAGTAAGTCCTTTGCCATGAAGGATTTGGGTCCAGCAAAGCAAATTCTTGGGATGAGAATTGTTCGTGACAGATCACATGGGCTGATTTGGTTATCTCAAGAGAATTATATTAAAAAGGTTCTTGAGAGGTTCAATATGGACAAAGCAAAGCCTGTTAATTGTCCACTTGCAGGCCACTTCAAACTAAGCTCAAGTCAGTGTCCTACAAGTGATGAAAAGAGAAATGAGATGCAGAAAATTCCCTATGCTTCAGCAGTTGGTTCTTTGATGTACGCCATGGTTTGTACTCGACCGGATATTGCTCACGCAGTTGGGGTTGTCAGTCGATTTTTGTCTAATCCAGGGAAAGAACACTGGGCAGCAGTGAAATGGATTATGAGGTATCTTCAGGGCACTTCAAAGATGAGTTTGTGTTTTGGTAAAGGCGAGCCTATTCTTGATGGGTTCACAGATTCTGATATGGCTGGTGATGTTGATAGTCGAAAATCTACTTCTGGTTATTTGATTACTTTTGCAGGGGGAGCAGTGGCATGGCAATCAAGATTACAGAAATGTGTTGCTCTCTCCACCACAGAAGCTGAGTTCATCGCCATCACTGAAGCTTGCAAAGAATTATTGTGGTTGAAGGAATTCTTACAAGAGTTGGGTTTGAAACAAGAAAGGTATGTCCTTCATTGTGATAGTCAGAGTGCAATCCACTTGAGCAAGAATTCTTCATTTCATTCGAGATCGAAACATATTGATGTTAGATATCATTGGATTCGTGATGTCTTGAATGATAAGTTGTTACAACTTGAAAAAATTCACACTGATGATAACACTTCGGATATGTTAACTAAGGCATTGACTAAGGACAAGCATGAGAAGTGTCGATTTTTGGCGGGAATGGTCGAATCCTCCACATAAGTCGGGAGGGGGAGAATTGTTGGGTTTCCCTCCTTTGTGGGACTCATCAATTTGCTAATTTTTTGGTGGCCTACCCGTGTAGGACTCTTATCCAAGACTTGGTTTGGAGTCTTCTAGTTAAAAAGGAATTTGGCAGCCACCAAAGACTATAAGTTTTGTCCTTTTCTTTGGTTCATCTCTTCTCTGTTGGTTTGGCAAGAAGACATATTTTTCGGCAGTCTTTGGTTCAACAAAAATTCAGCCTTCTTCTTCTCCTTTTTGGTGCCAGAAAAATCTGCAAATTTGTTCTTCAAGTGGGTAATATTTCTTCACTTGATATTTGGGTTTCTTGCGGTTTGTTCTTGGAGATTTGGTTCACTTATTTTGTGAGGTATTTTCCTCTTGTGATTTACACCTTGGTGTGTTTGTAAGGCTTATGCCTTTTGGCCACTTTGTAATCTGATTTGGTGATAGTGGAAGAAACTGACCTACCGGTCGTCGTGGATGTACCTCAAGTTATTTGAGGGAACCACGTAAATCTTGTGTGCTTATTTATTTTCTGTTATTTTATTTATATTGCTTCCATTGATTTACACTTGTGGGAAAGCCTATTTTCCCAACAGATTCTTGGGTTTGCTAAACCTTCGTTAGACTACCGTATTAAATTAAATGACTTTTATTTTTCACGACTAAAATGAAAGAACGTCAACCAATTCTTGCAATTGCGGTCAGTCTCCTATCTCTTTGGTATTATGTTGGTTCTTTGATTGCTTACCGTCATTCATATATTATGATGTTTATATGTACAAAATATTCAATTATTATAAGGGTTCTATACCCTAGTAAGGATAAATGGTGAAGGTTATAGGGTCCTTGTTCGTACTTCGATCAAAAATAAAGACTCTAGTTTAACGAAAAACATACATTGTTCGTAGTGATACGTGAATTACTTAGTAGTGCTTTGCAACTATCGTAACTGACAAAAAATAGCTTAATGGCAGGTGGGAAACAAAGGATACAATAACGTGGCATCAGCGAGGTTCAGGTTTATTACATTTGGGATTTCACTCCCAATTTGTCTAGTGAGCACTATTGGAAAAAAAATATATTTTTTGGTGTAATTTTTTGTTATTTTATTGTTTTACCTCATTTTGTTACTATTATCATCATAAAACAATTCTACTTGTTTTTGATTTACTGACTTAAATTGTTGACGTAATCAATCTCAATATTTCATTGACAATAGACTCTAATATTAATTGGGATCCGCTTGAGCATAAACAAGAGAGTAGAAAATAAAGGGTTATAAACGTATATTTAACATTTTAAATTTAATACAATTTAAAACTTGCAATAAAATGTTCCACTTTTTTCCTTCTTTCTATCTTCACCTAAGAAATTAATTAGTTCATTTTTTTTAACAGTAATTAGCTCATTAAATGTTTTGGATGCCTTCATCAAGTGGGGTCGTTAACGGTGCAATTATGGGTATTTAACTTTCTGAGTACTCCTAATTTTCTATTTTATCCGATTCTATCCAATTCTACTGATAAGTTAACCAAAAAAATTGGGTAGGAAAACAGAAGATTTTTTAGTCTTTCGATTAAATCGGGTACGAATGCGGAATGCCCATCAAATTTGCGTATTCCTACCCAACCCTACCTGCATATATATATTGGAGCAGTTATAATTTTTGATGTGTTTGATATGGTTTAAACCTAAAATAATTGTTATTGTATTTGTGCAACAATTATGTTGGATTGATGTTTATGCCTTGACTTTCTTGTGTTTTATTATAATTGTTATTGTAATTGTTTTAGGTTTTAATGTTATTAGTTTTTTGTGTTGTTAAATTGGTGTAGGTTATTTAATTGAATTGTTAAAATAATAAAAAAATTAATAACTACAAAATGTATTCACCTGATTTCTTATCCGATTTCTTACATAATTAATTTGGATGTAAGTTGAGTAAGAATACTATACTTGATCGGGTAAGGTATATCAAGAAAAAATTCGTTCATAAAGTATCGGATAAGAACTTGTGTGAGCTAACTCAAATTTAACCCCAAATCCAACTCGAGAAATTTAATACTTGGGTTGACATTTTTAATATTTGTATAACAAAATACTTAGGTTGAAACCTAGGGTTAACATATTCAATCTGAATCCGATGACTGAAATTCTTTTATAAAATTTTACTTTCCGTCATTACATTCCTTGAATAAGTTCTTTCAAATGCTACCGTTGCTACTGATGCAAGAAGAAAATTTAGGAGGCTAAAATATTTACAAATAAGAAAAAGATACCCAAATTCTCTCATCTACCGGTATGAATTTTTTGGACTAAATGGAGGAAGTCTATTTGTACTGGTTGAAGATTTGACAAGGATTTCCTCATAAAAAACTTGACTTCCAAAACTATTTAAATTGCAAAATCCATTTATAATTTAGTCATAAAATAATTATTTTGTGAATTATATTAAGGCCAACCCAATTTTTATATTAAGATGATACTTGTCGTATTTGTCAAATTTTGGTATTATATCAAAAACCGAACAACAAAGTCCCTTCTGTCACCAGTCACCACAAAACTGTAGACCCGCCAAAGACACAATCCCGAGCAGGCGTTGCTTTGTCTTTGAGAGCAATGGATTGATGATGGGGTCTTCCACCACAGCCTTTGATATTCTTATGAATTCCACAGCTTTATTTGCCTCGGCAATACTACTAAAATCGGGTTTTTGTTTTGAAAGATTTGAAGATCTTTAAATTCGGGCAAATGTGTTCTTATGCGTGCCGCCTCCTCATGCTGAACCCAAACAATCAAAAGCCCAACTAGAGCCCAAATTACAAACCTGATTTTAAAACAAGCTTGAAAAATATAACAAAACCAATACCCAGATTGAATAACTCATATTAAAACTGGTTGGATTGGTTTCGGATTGAGAGTTTTGTAGCTTAGGTTAAGCCTATGACTGACTTGTTTACCTATACTCAGATTGAGTCCAAATTTACTAACCTGATTTTAAAACGAACTTGAAAAATATAACAAAACCAATACTCAGATTGAAAAGCTCATGTTAAAACAGGTTGGATTGATTTCGGGTTGAGAGTTTTTTAGCTTAGGTTAAGCCTATGACTGACTTGTTTACCTATTCCGTGACACTGCTGACGTTATACAACTGTTATACCCAATATTGTTTTTCCCTTAATCTGCCCAGTGAGGCCCGATCAAGCAACTAAAAAAGTTTGTGCAAAGCAAGATTTTACCATCGAAAGGGGTTCAATTTCATTTTTGAAATTGAACCAGAAATTAGCAGACAAACTAGCCCGAACAATCATGGATTCAAGACAGTAAAACATCATATACTTGTGTCTCTTGAGACCCAGCACAGAATCCTAATGGATTGACCTACTCTAAAACTAGAAGATAATGGGATATCCAAATCGTATCCTACATAGATGTCACGACAATAATGGGATATCCAAAACAAACACAACGAACAACACCACAGGCCAAATTAAAACAAGACATCACACGTATCAACTAATGGACTAGAAAGAAAACCATCAAGACCCATAGTTACCAGCATTGCCTGGATGCTGCTCACTCGATGCTGCTTAAAAACTAGCAATGAAAAAAACCCAATACCATAATTAACTGCATAATATAGCTCAAATATGTCAAACAACTGAAACATAACAACAGGACAACAAATCCTTAAAATTCACATAATCCCAACAAAGACAAGAAAAACTACAAACTACTAAACTTCAAAGTTCATTATCATAAGATCACTTAATAACCAACATAAACTTAGTCAAACAGACTGAAGCCCATGTCATCATCAGATTCCTCAGCAGGTTCTTCCTTTTTCTCCTCCACCGCGGCCGCAGCAGCAGGAGGAGCAGCACCAGAATCAGCAGCTGCAACTGAGGCCACAGCAACAGCAAACTTGCTAGGATCCTGTAATATTATTAGCCCAAAAAAATTAATCAGGTGCACAACAAGCACCAAAACTGCATTCAAAAGAAGCAATACAGATCTACTTTCGAGGAAGACAAGCACTGCATACCTCGAGGTACGCTTTCACTTTATCAGCCTGCGGGAAGGAATATTCAATCTCAACAGCAACAGCCAAAACATTTTTGTAGGCATTGATGAACATATGGGGTGCAGCTGCAAGTGTTGCATACGAGATGGCCAGTGACAGGGCAGTAACCATGGAAACTCCAATAGCAAACTTGTCCATAAGATCATCTTCAGTCAGATCAAGCACCTCTGGGTTAAAAACTGAACCATTGTCATAAACAGACAGAACTTGCAGACCATAAGAGAAGGGTCTTATCCCAAGTTTTGCAAGCAGGGCAGCCTCAGAGGAACCCACTTTGTCACCCTTCTTGATAAGCTCCACTGGGGTGATAATTTCCACAGTTCCTTTGTTAATCTTAGTCGGAATATTGAGCACCTGAAAAGAAGTGTTGTCAGAAACAGCTATTTCAAAATAAGAGGAAAAAATACCATCAACACATAGTGAAGATTAAGACCTGGAAGAAAGAGGTTTGAGATGGGTCAAGTCCAGTATTGCCTGGTGGGACGACGACATCAACTGGGGCCACCAGACCAACACGAGCAGGAGCTCCCACCTGGTGAGGCAAGGAAGATAGACAAGTTAGAGCCACAAGTATCTCAAAAAAATTGGTGCAAACAGTTGATAAAAAAAAGACAAACTTCACCAAAATAAGCAATGTATAGAGAACCAAACAATCAAATAAGGTTGAGTACATTCCCTTAGCGAGTATCTCAAAAAAATGAGAAAAGATGTTTGAAACCTATATATTCCTATATGATGATGTGGTTTTAAGTTACATGAATGAGCAATATAATGCTGACCACTGAAGGCATTCATATTACTTAAGCCCCAAAGAACTAAATGTATAAAAGTAAACAACTTTTATGGCATTCTATTACAAATTCCAGCAATGACACAGATTCAATATAAGGATTATACAGTTTAAAAAAATTAAAAAATGGCAGGCAGTGGCAATCGTTAAAGACGGTAACAATTGCAAGAATGGATTGGTAAAACAGATGAACATTGAACAAAAAGCTGCACATCACTTCGGGAATATCAATATTCTCCGCCAAGAATTTTACACTAGGGCAAGAAGCACAACAGAATTCAAAAAACTCTTACTGGTAAATCTGATACCAACTGAACTTCACTTTCTTACAGAAAACTAAACACAAGAGAAAAAATAACCAAGTCCTGAGTTTTTTCACATCTGCTTCCTGATTGATGAAAAAAATTAAGACTAATATCAAACAGAAGATTTAAAATTCCAGAACAGGATCTAAATACACATTTTTATGAGAAACTATATAGGCCCAACAATGAATTGCAAAGCACACTGAAAACTTCTAGCTAATCAAGTTATCGGAGTTGGCCAAAAAAAAATTTTATTGATACCTTTATGCAAATGCATTTCCATGAATGATGTGCTAGACCAATAGTTGAGTATCACATCTTATATAAATTACAGGTACCACTTTTTTCAGTACTCCTTTTACTTTTCTACCATGCTAACATTTATTTTCCCTTTTCAAATAAGAGATATGGCATATATACATATTTTGGACCGAACAGCTTGTGTGTCCATGTTGGCTCCCTTTCATGATCCCTACCCACAAGCACACATACAAGCACCCACATATGCATCCATACAAATACATCTATGTGTGAGACAGATACGATATATAGCATACACATATATAAGCCATGCCCATATATGCAACGAACATCCACAATAAACATATATAAATATATTTATGCAGTCACAAACATCTCTATGCATTAATATCCTCGTGTATAAATACCAAGAAATTTAACAATTTGGAAAGTGTCATCAAAACTGTCCTCTATTTTTTAAGCAAAATAAGTGGAAATTACTAATAAAAAAAAGGAATTTCTGAAACGGGTTATCAAACAGTACAAACAAATAGAAATAAAACATCATCATCAATCATGTAAGGGCAAAAAAATACAATAAAAGCTTAATATTTTTAATTGAAATGGTATAAAACTGTCCTCTCAGGAGTTGGTGTAATTTCAGAATTCAGTTTAATCAGCATACATACAACTATCCTCTAAAAGGTTAAGCATAATTTCATAGTTCAAATCCATTAACAAAAAAACAAATGGATTCACAAGCATGAAACAATAGTTATAAAGAACTTAACCTTGTATTTGGAGACCTCTTCGCTCACTTCCTTCAAATCACCCTTAGTGAATATCAGACCAACATTACCCTAACATAAAAAAAAACGAAACGTCATTCTAAAACCAATCTACATAAATAGAATATGCAACAAGTTGTTTAACTATAGGATAAACATCAGAAAAAGAAAACATCTTCCACCAAATCCCAATTTCAAGGCATCCAAAAATAATCGAAAAACTGGAACTACACTTACAACAAGGAGGGGGATAAGGTTGAGGTAGGCCTTGTTGCCGGTCTTCTCAGAATGGATCCTGATGGACCTCTTCATCATAGTATTTTTCCCCATCAGCACGATAGAGTCTCCACGAAGTCCCTGCCTAATATTCTGCAACTGGTTCGATCCGACATTGTCGGCCGCGGCGATGAGGACCTGGGTGTACTGATCAAGAAGCTGGCACAGCTTCTGATCATAAGCGATCTTCTTTTCGGCCTTCGATGTTTTCACCGCCATTGATTCTGATGAGCTTGAGCTTCAAAGATATAAGTATATGTATAGATTCAACAGAGTGTACAAGACTAAGGCCTAAAATTGAACGGAAGAGATTGGGCAAAAACGAGGGCCAAGACGAAGCGACGGCTTGATCAAGGCGGACAGCGACGGCGCCGTCACTTTAACCTCTCCTATTCACTTTCAGGTTGTTTGCTGAAGAAAGAGAAACCCTAACCACTGGTTTGCTGGGAGGAGTACAGATGTTGAGGTGGGGTTTATATAGGGTGTTGTAGATGAAGACCTAAAATGGACGGTTGTGATTTGTTTACTTTGTTTGAATCTGATGGCTGTGGAGTTCGGATACTTGTGGGCTTTTTTGTTGGACTGGGCTTCTAATACTATACATTAGGGTGTTTTTTTAACGTTCTTTGGAAGTCAATACACTAAATTAGATAAAATCGTAAAAAAATACATAGAAAAAATATATTGTAATTAAATACACTACTGAAATACAAGGACTTAGGTGGTGTTTGATTTATGTCTTAAAACCAGTTTTTTGTTCTCAAAACACAAATTTTGGTGAGATACTGTTTAGTTAAAAGTTTCAAAAAACAAAAGTGAGAATTGAGAATAAAAAATGGAAAACAAGGGGAACAACTCTTAAAGATTTTAATAAGGTCTCCCCTTCGAATCCCTTTAGCAGCAAAACTAGTCATAGTATAAAGGCTTTTTTTTTCCTTTCTCCCTCTCTTAACTTTGCCTTTCAGATGAAACAAACACACACGGACGAAAGGTGTCTTCGTCTTCTCTCTCTCCACAAGATTTGTTTATGTCTGATTTCCTTCCTTTCTCTCTCCACTTTGTCTTTCAAACGGAACAAACACACATAGACGAAGGGTGTCTTCACCTTCTCCGACGAAGGGTGTCTTCACCTTCTCCGACGAAGGGTGTCTTCTTCTCCAACGATCTATCTTCTCCTTTACGATCTGGGTTCAAGATTTATGTTCGTCTTCGAGATCTAGGCAATGTGGGTGTGTGTTCAAGATCTAACTTCTCCGATGTTATTTGTGTTCTTTGGAGTGTGGTGTGAGTTCTCCGACGTTATTTGTGTTCTCCAGTGTGTGGGTATGAGTTCTCTGGTGTGTGATGGGTGAGTGTGTTCTTCGGCGTTCTATATATATACTATGTGTGTATATATATTGTGAATGTGTGTATATAAATTGATATTGAAATTGGTAAATAAATTAATATTAAAATTGATGTTAATATAAATTGAATTATTGTTCAAACATATATTTAAGTTGTCCAAACAAGTTTTATTGTTTTTTATTCTATAAAATTATTTTTAGAATCATCTAATCAAACAAGGTTTTCGTCTCAGAAAATATCAAAATAACATTTTTAAACTCTTCTAAAAAACTATTTTCGGATACTATTTTTTGAGATGCAAACAAAACATGTCATTAATTGCTCATTTTCTAAAATTTATTTTTCTAAAAACGGTTTTAGAAATATATCTTAAAATTAATTAGGTACACAGTGATAAAGATTAATTGCTGGATTTTAGGAACATTAATTCGTGAAGAGCCTCATCTTCGAAAAACAGTTACCTCTTCTTTTGCCTATCCAAAAACTGCTCCATCTTCCTCGGCGAGAAACTCTAAATTGTTCCCTAAACATCTACATGATTTTGTATTTGAAAGGAAAATTCTATTGGTCCGCCATTATAGATGTAAGTTCATCTATGTTTCTCGCATAGTGTAACAAAGACAGTGTAACACTGTAATGCAAACAATGTTCAATGATTTAGTTGATATGGTAACAAATTCAAAATATAGTTAAACTATTACAATGAAGTTATATGCAAATATATATTTGACAAAATGTAACAATACAGTGTTTTGTGTAAGTAAATTTTTACACTGTTATTGTTACACTGTAAATGCATATACATGATGAACTTCGGTTATGATATTCACATATAAAAAAACAGTATAATCACCTTTAAAATGACAGACATAAATTTAATGAGGTCATGAATTCAAGCCTTGTAATTGCTTATATTGAATTATAAAGTTGAAATAATGTTTTGGACTTGCACTCATAAATTGCTTATAGTCCGAAGAAGAAGACAACAAATGATATTGTTGCAAAATGTAAAATTCAAATCAACTGATTTATCCTCAAAATAAATAGAATAATCAAATCTTTCATTAAATTAGGAGATTTTTAATGCATAAATATAATTTGAAAAAAAAATAGTTTTCAAAAATAATCGCATGATTTAAGGGAAGACACAAATGTCAAAGGAAAATTCGAAAATTTTAAATTATGTACTCATACACAATTAAGAACTTCTTTACTTTACATTTTTTTCTGTATATTTTTTTACAATTAAACCCAATATAGTGTACCCATTTTCAATTTATCCTTTTTTAATTGGATTTGTTTTGGGAATTACGATTAATTGGGTTGTTAGTTGGGCCTTTGAAATAGACAATTACATCATTGGATCCAATAAACTTAATGGCCTATATGACGAAATTTCATGGAATTGACAATATTTGAAATTGGGGTAATTTAGAAGTCGGTACAAAAATTTAGACTTATTTGAGCTAAACTACATTAAAAAAACTTATTTGGCCATAAGTGTATTTTTTTTAAAAAAGACTAAAAGTCCATTTATTACTCAATTATTTTCTCTCATCTCTCTCTATTACTCTTTCACTCTCTCTTCTCTATTTTCTCTCTATCTCTCTCTCTCTATTTCTCTCATATTGATAATTTTTTTTAAATATGTAAAGATTTGATTTAATTTTTTTATCTCTCTCTCTCTTCTTATTTTCTTATTCTCTTCATTTTTCTCTCTCCTTATATCAACATTACACAATACAATTATACTAATCAGTTACATCTATTAGTTACTAAACAGTCACTCATATGTTCTAATAAACTAAATAGTTATACGAAATAATTATACGAAATTACAACACCAATCCAATTTGTTATTTTGTTATTTACATAAATTAAATAGTTACACCATTTAGTATAACAACATAATTACACTACTTATATACACAAAATTGAGTTTATCATTACACAAAAGACTTTACCATTATACTAAATTTGATATATATGATTGTGTAATGATGTCGTGATACTAAATAGTGCAATTATTTAGTTTATGTAAACAACTAAATGACAAATTGAGTTGATGTTATAAATTTGTGTATTGTTTGGGGTAACTATTTAGATTATTAGAATGCATGAGTAACTGTTTGATGTAGTAGAAGATAATTGTAACTGATTTGTGTAATTGTGTTGTTGTAATATTGATATAAATAGAGAGAAAGAGAAATGGTCAGAGAAAACAAAGGAGAGAGAGAGAGAGAAAAAAAAATAAGAGAGAGATGAAAAAATAAATCAAATCTTTACATATTTGAAAAAAAATAAATTATCAATTATAGATATAGAGAGAAAATAGGGGAGAGATAGAGAAAAAATAGGAGAGAAATAAGGAGAGTCTAATAAAATTTTTACATATTTGATTAGATATATAATCGTCAATCAAGAATGCATAATTTAATAGAGGATATTTAGGTAAAACTGTCTTGATTTCATTTGAATTTTGTACCTAAATACAATATATTTTATTAAAATTGAACTTAATAGATTAAATAATTTATTCATACACTTTTTCTTAAATAAGTCTAAAAATTATATCCACGGTCAAAAAAACCTTTGAAATTGAGAGGTTCCAAATCCCTAATACAAAAGTCATCAAACAATGGGGCTTAGTCAGCCTACCTGTCAAAGGCCCAGGTAAATTTATGGGCCTGCCAGTCGGGTTGTTGATTGGGCTTACAGAAAATTAGAGTCCATCCATTGGGTCCAATATCATTGGGCCGCTCTTCAACACGCAGTCTTTCAGAGGATTTACTTTTTTTCTTTTTAACTTTAATTGTGACATAAACTTGGTCAACAAGCCGAGCTGTAGGAAGGTTTGGTAATTCTATACAAGACCCTTGTTGGTTTGTATTTAATTTTAACGGGTTCATAAAAAACACCTTGCCTTTCAAGTAAACGAGTTGATATGTATGTGATTTTGATTATACTGAAAATAAATTGAACAAATTTTGATATCAAACGACACCACATAAGTCAATTGAGAGCCATAGGTGTAAGCTCACCTTGCGGACAGCGTTTGTGGGCCAAAAACAAGCTATGATCCCTGACCAGTGGGTTATTGGGTTATCAGTGGGGCACCATTTTGCGGGCTGGGCTAGATCATGGCTCAGTGAATCTCTGGGGTCTCCATTTCGTGGGCTGGGTGTAGATCATGGATAAATGAGTCTATGGGCTAACAATACAGACTACAGGCCATGGGCTTTTTCCGGCCCATAATTGGTTGGTTATCCTGCTTTCTCGCTTAGCTTAGAGCGACACCAATTCCGACAACCTCCAATAGAGACGCGCGCGCGTACACAGTATCTCTCTATACCCATCTTGGGACTCGGTTCTGACAACGGAATCAATGGCGGCCGCCGGAGCCTCCACCTACCGAGATCGGACGTCAGAATTCCGATCTCTCTCGGATACATTGAAGAAGATTGGAGGAACAGCGGCTGCCTCAAACGAATCACAGAGCCTCCCATCCACATCCAAGCCAAACCCAACTGCGTATAGATCCGAATTCAACAAAAGGGCTTCACGAATTGGATTGGGCATCCACGAAGCCTCTCTGAAGATCTCCAGACTGGCCAAACGTAAACCTCTCTCTCTCTCTCTCTCATGAATCATTTATATGTCTCCCAAGATGATTATAATATCCTCCTGAATTGATGGTTTGATTTGAGGCAATAGAAATGGTTGAATTAGGGCACTTAATACAAAATTCAGCTACTTTTTTCTTTCTTTTTTTTGGTCTCATTTCACCATTAACGCTGAGTTTGGGCGCAATAGTTAAGGTATTTTAAGTGGAATTTTGGAGGAAAAATCAGCTAAAAAGCTGAACTAGTTTATACCCAATCTCATTTATGAGGCGCCTGAATTTTACGCTCTCAATCGCCTTGGTTGATGGATATAGAGACCATGAGACAATTCTAGTTCTGTTTATGCTTTGATGGTATTATATGATTTTTGGGGAATGTGTTCAGCAAATGGCATCAGTCGATAGAATCAACGATCTCACATACCCATTGGGTGCTAAAGCTTTACACTACTAGCACTACCTGGATATATTAATCATTAATGCTTTAAAAAACAAAAACAATTTAATCTAACCTGATTGAATCCTTGGTGTCCTTCGATATGGATATGGATTTTTATTGGAATAAACTCAGTTCTACTTGATCCTACTTTACACCGCTACTCTCTGTTGCCTATTGTTGTCTCTCATGTGTTTGTTAAGGCTTGATTAGTCTTGGGGAATAATTGTTCATTTTGGAAGTTAGGCCTTTCCATAAATTTGATTGACTTGGTCTTTAGCCTGATGTATTATGTTGCTGTAACGTCTTTTGAAATTAGTGTGACATCCTACAAAAATCTATGAATGCTTCTTTTAACATGTTATAGGAAACAGAACTATTAGATTTGTGCTCTTTGTTTGAGTGAATGCATCTACAATCGAAATATTAGCGGAGAATGTGAAGAGGTAAGAACTTCAAACAAGGGCTTACAACTATGAACTATATTGCTCCTTGTGAGAAAGGTTTTTTGAAGGAAGTCTTAACTGACTAGAGTTTTGTCTGCTTTCTCTGTTTCTCTCTCTGTCACACTCACGCGCACACACACACACACACAAATTGAGTTTCTTTATTACAAGAAGACCTACTTTCTGACCAATATGTGCCTTTGAAAAACTTGAAACCACAAGATCTGCAATATATCCCAACTTTCAATTTATTTTTATTCGGAAAGTAATACTCTGCCTTAGTGCATCGCCATTGTGCCTTTTTTTCCTTTTTCTTGACTGGATGTACCTTGTAGAGGTTCCAACTTCCAAGGGAACTGTTGTTGTGTACGTATTCAGAAAAATAAACAATGTAGTTATTTTCTTGATCTCGCAATCACTTGTAGATTGAAGATGTTGTAAAGCTTTCATAGTACATGTTTGAGTGTACTCTTGATTGATTCAGTGAAGCTCAAAACTGGTCATTATTTTTTGTCTCTATCTTATGTTCATCATCTCAAAAATATAAACTTGTGAAGTAATTACATTAGTGTGGCACTTTGTTATACTTCCGGTTACTGCATTTAGATGATGTTATGCTAGCCTGAGGTTTTCAATTTTCATTTGCATGGACATGCAGTGGCTAAACGGTCATCTATTTTTGATGATCCGATCAAGGAAATTCAACAATTAACTGCCTTGATAAAAGACGACGTCACAGCCCTTAATATAGCAATTTCTGATTTGCAAACCCTTCAAAACATGGAGATTGCTGATGGAATTTTTTCGGAAGATAGAGTTGTTCATTCTAATGCTGTATGTGACGATTTGAAGAACAGACTTATGGGTGCTACAAAACAGTTTCAGGATGTATTGACTACTAGAACAGAGGTGAGTACTAAATGGAATGGTTCTTCTCCTTTCCTTTACATCTATGTATCCTTGCAATCATCATCATCATTAGGCATCTTCCTCCTCACTATAACCATTAATCTATTGTTTATGTCTCAGAATATGAAGGCTCATGAAAACAGGAAACAGATATTTTCCACAAATATGTCAAGAGAGGACCCTCTAAGGCAACATGCAAAGACTGTGACAGAGCCACCCCCTTGGTCAAGTTCATCTAATTCATCAGGGGGTTTGCAGCCATCAGAGTGAGTGGTTTTTATATGCATTGTCATTGTTAATGTACAATAAGATTCTGTAGTGAACATGGGAGAGAATAAGATTTTTGTTATATACTTAATATAATACTCTGGCAAAAGGTGTAGCGTATTTTGAATTGTATGATGTGGATCAGAGATGTTAAGTGTATTGTTTAAGAGTTGCATGATTTCCAGGTCTGGTGCTAGCATGCATAGTAGTGCTAGTAAATATCATGGACCTGGGCAGTAGCTCAAGTCTGTTTCACAAATATGGTTGATATATGGTATCATTACAAATATATTGCTGTTTCATTTGTACACTGCAAAGTGTCTAGATGATTATGAAATGTTCCTGTGCTAGAGCTAGATGGGGACTGCAACAGAGATATGCACTTCTCCCAGTGTAATTTTATCTCTGGACTAACGTTTGGGATTTTACTAATGTTCAAAAGATACTTTGTAATCAGTTGCAGTAATGATAGACTGCCTCGTCTAATCCTTAGAAAATATTGTTTTTCTGGTTTTTCCCATTCTAAGCTCTACAGTACAGACACTTATTCATGCTTTACTGCAGATATGATGATTTCGAACTGTTCTATTGCTCTTTTTATACTTTTGTCAGTTTTCGTGTATTTTTCAGTTTTTTTCAGGTATTTGTTCTGTGAATTAACCTCAGTAATTTTCCTCCTTCTCTCTTATCAGATCACCATTTAATGGAGTTCAAGTTGGAAACCAACTGAGGTATGCTTTAATGTCACCCTGCATACTACTGTTGAACTTATTCTTGGGGGTTTTGTCTGCATAGGTTGTGTTGTATGGTATTACCATATTGTTAAGTTGCATGCATCAATAACTTTTTCATCTGGGCTTGAAGCGATATTAATCACCCTCAATTGGAATCTGAAGATCAGCAAACTCTGATATGCAGAAACATTGTGTAAATGTTGAAAACTGTGTATCTTCCCCTCCACCCTTCATACTCCACTCTCCAGCTTTTTCGTTTGTAAGACTAGTTTTTACATTTTAACAACTAAACTCGAATGCTGCCTATCAGAATCAATGTTTGCAAATATGCTGTGCATTTTCTATATTACTATTGTAATAAATAATCAACTCATTTACGATTGTTCTCTTTTCACTGGTCTAATTGTGTTTTGTCGTGATAACTCCTTAAGGCTTATTCTGAATAAGATCTTTCTTACAATTTATTGGTATTTTTGCTCTTAGCAAAAGAATAATACTGTCTGTAAGTTTTACTACTTTAGCATTCCATCCAACTGCCTGGATTTGGCAGCACAAATATTTTACTTAGCAAGTCCATCTTCACAGAGGCCATATCTTTATTTAGTCATCAGATTTTGGATTGCCATTTATTAGTGTTACTCCAACTCCTGAACTATCAATTCATTTCGTTTTGGGCTTCTATTTGGCATTTTGTTTTCTGCTTTTGTCTTGGCCACAATGTGGCTCAGTCCATGATGGGTTATTTTGTGGCGGTGGGGGTAGTTGAAGAGGGGAATTTGGGGTGGATTTAGTGGTGAAATTGGGTCATTGATAACTTAGTTCACTATACATCTATGATGAGCTTGTTAATACTCAAGTTAAACCTTACCATTTCAGACGGAGGTTAGCTGCAGATAACACTCCATCCCATCAGATGGAAGTGTCCATGTTGCAGCAGGTGGTTCCACGGCAAGAGAATTACTCACAAGGTCGGGCAGTTGCTCTCCAAAATGTGGAATCCACAATTTCCGAACTCAGCGGGATCTTCACACATCTGGCTACAATGGTTGCACAGCAAGGAGAATTGGCTATTAGGTTAGTACAGTTTGTATAAATCGTTTGATGTTCATCCATTGGCCTTTTAAAAACTATTGAGGTTTTAAGATGGAAAGTTAGGTTACATATGCCATTTATGTTTGGAGCTTATGGTTGCAGGTTTTGATTGACTAACCATGATTCCCTCTCTCTCTGTGCAATAAAATTGCCTGGTTGCTATGAGCAGGATTGACGATAACATGGAGGAGTCATTGGCAAACGTAGAAGGTGCTCGCAGTGCTCTGTTGAAGCATTTAACACAAATATCATCAAATCGGTGGCTCTTGATCAAGATATTTGCTATTCTGATATTTTTTCTAATGATCTTCATCTTCTTTCTCGCCTAAATTGTGGCGAAGGCGAACTGATGGTTCTATTTTATCTTCATCCGGTATTCCGCTCCTCTATGTCTTCTTTCAACCCATTATAGCTTGCTCGTCTGGTATAAGCTGCTCAATATCTGGTACTGCAGTGTACTGTTATGTTCTGTATTCTTTTTGTTGTGTATATATAGTGAATACTCCTATTTTTCCTATCTGGTGGCATTATTTCTCACTTGTATTTTTTTTTTTTTCTGGTTATATTTTGCAGTTGTAAATGACTCTTTTCCTCATAAATGGAAATGATCAGATTGAAGTATTATACAATATACAATACATGAATTTCTTATTTTGGCTTTGAGTGCAAGAGGTGGCTTAGTAGTTGGGGAGCTATATTGTGTCACAAGCTCGAAGCACATAAACAATCTGTCCGAACATGTGGTTTTCACACTTTTGAACATCCTTGGACACCCTCCTAAAACCTCGTGGTAACGAGAGTACAACGCTTTGAAAAGTTAGCTCTGGATATGTGAAGAGTTCTTAAATAGCTAAAGGAGGTCTAAAGTTGAAGACTTCTAATCTCCGCTTCCTTGATCGATCACCCGTGATGCGCTTAAATGGGTTTCACTATGTATAGGTGAATTATAACCTGTACATAATAAGTGATCTAATTTTGAAAAAAATCAAGAATTGACGTATTGGAACGGACTTAGAATAAGTCAGTAAATGCCCATTGAGAAGATTGATGAAAGACTGATGGGTGCCGATACCTGGAAAATAACACACTTTGATGCCTTTCTCTCCAATAATTCATTCATTAGATCAGCTTTAAGCAGACAGATAAGGGATACCATGAAAGCTGAACAAAGCCCATGTATATATAATTTGATGGTCTTTGCCTTCTTTGTTTTTTGTGGGTAATTTAAATTTCACGCATTCTTCTATTTTAGTTGAATGTAACAAACAAGCGGCATTGCAAAATCGTTGTAACAGTGTTGGTTAAAGCAAGTTTGGTCATATTTGATAACAAAAATTTACTCTAATAAATTCACGAAATAGTAGTAGTGTTGAACGTTATTATAAGTAATGTTTAGAGACGTGTTATTATAAGATGGTGCTTTATAAGGTTCTACCAACCAATTTTTTTTTTTTTTGGGGGAGGGGGGTGGTTTGTGAGTCGGTACTTAATTTGCTACTTAATTGTGAAAAATTATTCAATACAAAATGTTTTGTATATAAGTATTTTTTTTTGAAAAATGACAAATATCCACAAAAATAACAATAATATGGTGTAAAAAGTGGATGAGGAAACCGCAATAAACTACGCAATAATCTTATTAAATTTGTCAATTGTTATATCTCTTAAAACATGAGTTTTCAATTTTTTTTAAAAAAATCTACTATAAAATCCTTCAATTTTCAATGAAAAAAAAAATAACACAAACGTTAAAGCACAATGAAAATTGATCTTCCTTCTATTCTGATTCAAATTTTCGATAATGTGACATTACAGTGATACATGACATGTGACACCATCAATAACACTTTAATTAGTAACAAAAAAGTTGTGAAATTATAGGCACTAATTCATACACACTCTAAATAGTATGAATCACATAATGTGACATCACAAGTGTGACATTCATATATATTGTTTTTAATGAATAACAATGTTACATAACAGTATAAAATTACAAAATGACACTATTGTTAGGTTGAGAACAACTAGAGTCGTTTAACATTAAAAAATAATATTAAAAAAAATAAATTTCAAAATTTGGGCCAAGTCATTAAGGTATATTCCATGTGACATAATTTTGAATTTTAAATATGTTCAATCCCTTAAAATATGAATTATTAATATAATAAATCAAATTCCATTAAAAAAGGGGACTGCCAAACTAAAAAGAGCTTCAAATAAGGAAAATAATATTTTAGTGAAGAAAATATTTAAAAATTTGTCGATCAGTATCTAATCACAATACATTTCAATTCAAAAGTACTTATTCACAAAATAATTTAGTTAAGGTATTTTTTCACAATTAATAATTTAAAAGGTACTTGCTCACAATTTTTTTTTTTTATTAAAAAGTAACTAATCCACAATATTTCTACAGTTCTAGGATTCGGAGAAGTTCACCAATTACCACACATAACAACGGATCAAGACGTTTTTGGCGACACTTGAACTCTCACAATATTTGACTATTGAAGCTTTTCATCCAACCTACACTAAATGATTCCAAAGTGATAGTCCATTGAAAAACTATCGCATATTTCTTGTATAAATGGTTTGTATTTATAGTCTAAAGGTTTTTCATTTATGGGAAAGGCTACATACCACCGATAGTACGTTACAAAAAATTATATTTTTTTAAAATTAAATCATATATATTTTTTTAGATGTAAGTTACAACTTGTAAACTTGTAATTCATAAAAAATAAGTTATAACTGCTCTAGGAAGTCCATGATCGATCGTGACATTTCTTTGAATAATTGTAATTTTTATTTTTAAAGGTGTAATTTTACCATAAAAATTTATGACTTTTAGTACCATACCAAAAAAATAATGGGTTAATCTTATTTTGCACCCTAAAAGATTGTTCAAATCTCAATTTGCACCCCCAAAGATTAAAAATCTCAATTTACACATTCAAAGATAGAAATTTGTATCAATCTGCATCCCCAAAGATAAAAAATCTCAATTTGCACCTTCAAAAATAGAAATTTGTATCAATGTGCACCTAAAATTAAATTGATAAATTATACCTAGATCCCCTCATGTTTGTCACTTAATCATTTGAACTCCTTCACATTTAGAATATTCCCCTTACATCTCATGACGTTTGTGCATGTGTAACACATAACCACTTTTCGTTGATATCTGTTAATATAATCATTAAAAAATATGATTTTATCCTAATAAAAAATTATAATTTCATATTACCTTTTATTTTATGGATTCGATATACTTTAAAGTTAAAAATCAAGTTTACCATTTGAATGTCTAATAAAATGTAGATATTTATATTAAAGGTAATATGAAAAACATAATATAAATATTTACATTTTATTAGACATTCAAATGGTAAACTAGATTTTGAACTTTAGAATATATTAAACTCATAAAATAAAGGGTAATATGAAATTATAATTTTTTATTAGGATAAAATTATATTTTTTAACGGTTATATTAATAGATATCAATGAAAATGGGTTACGTGTTATACGTGCACAAATGTCATAAGATGTAGGAGTAATATTCTAAATGTGAAGAGGTATAAATGATTAAGTGACAAGTATGAGGGGATCTAGGTATAATTTATCAATTTAGTTTTTAGGTGCACATTGATACAAATTTCTATCTTTGAGGGTGCAAATTGAGATTTTTTATCTTTGGGGTGCACATTGATATAAATTTCTATCTTTGAGGGTACAAATTGAGATTTTTGATCTTTGGGGGTGCACATTGATACAAATTTCTATCTTTAAGGGTGTAAATTGAGATTTTTAATCTTTGAGGGTGCAAATTGAGATTCAAACAATCTTTTGGGGTACAAAATGAGATTAACCCAAAAATAATTTTCAAACCCTAAAGGGTAATATTTCCTGTATGCTTTAATGCCCAAAATAGTATTCAAAACTTAAAGCATTTCCTAGGATGCTTGCAATGACCTCAGTCAGAACAGGTTCTAAAGTGGCTGAGAGAAATTGACATTTGAAAAAATCTATGGATAAGCCATAAAGAAGAAAGCTTACAATTCACAACTTTATATACTGAGAGAGAACATTGGATGAACAAAGAAGCTTTTGAAGGTGTGGAAAGCCAAGAAAGGCAAATCAATTCTTTCCATTGAATTAACATTTCAACCAAAAAATTCTTCTTTTTTTGTGGGTACTGAGGATTCCTTCTCATCATAATTAAATGGACCCTATGGAATTTGTTGAGTGTGGAAAACAAAATCCATTCATTCACATCCTCCTTCGTCATGCTGATGTAAGTTTTTTTTTATTTTGGCCAGACACTATTACAGAGGTGGACAGAAATACTTAAACTCACGACCTTAAGGTCTAAGAGCGGGGCGATAGCCATTAAACCAACTGCTAACCTCTATTGATGTAAGTATTAAAATCCAATTCACCCAAATTTTCTATTCCCATTAAGAGAGAAGAATTTGTGTTACTACAAATACCAAATCTAGTCAAATTAGTAGAATGTTTATCGAGAATTATGGTTATTAAGTCAATATAAAAAAGAGATGACGCATTGAAATATATTCTTTTTAAACATAAGTAAAATATATTTTAGCACTCTATTTTGGACAAGTTATATATAATGGTCGATATTTGACTTGGGACATGACACAAAAGCTTAATAAATTATTGGGCCACAAAATAATGCGATAGAGGTATTTGTACCTGTCCATAAACCACAAGAATTTTTTGCCAAACATGGCCAATGAAGACACATCACCTAAAACTTTGTGTAATTATATAAAAGCTACACCAAAAAAAAAAAAAAAAAATCAAGAGAGCGAGAGAGCACTTAAAAGGTTAGTGGTAAGAACATAAATAATTGAAACATGATTTACAACTCCACGGCACAAAAGCATGGAGATATATGCATAATTTATTCTACCAAACATAGAAACTTAGGTAAAGGGTATATAAAGAGCACGATGGCCTAGAGTGTAGAACTATTATCATTCATCATTAGGTCTCCCACTAAACCCAAAGGTAGAAACTTGTTTAAATGTCATTAATCTTTGAAAAAAGTAAGAGGTGGGAATGGGACAATGACAGAGGGCTCTCCTAAAATGGACCAATATCAATGGGTGAATCAACTCATTTTAACTTTGAGGTAGTCAAGAGTCAAAGAGACAAAAGGAAAGAGAGAGGATGATATTGTGGAAGAAAGTTCAAAAAGATTTGTAGGTGTGTGGGAAAGAGGGTCCTTCACATAATACACAAACCTCATTAGCTAATCATAAGGAGATGTGCTTCAAATGATAATTTGTTGATTTAAGTGGGTGAATAATCGTAAAATATATTTTTATTAGTCATTGTCTGTATCTGAAGGCACTATATAATAAACAAAAAAATCGCAAGTAATTATGAAAATTAATTTAAAAAAATGAACCAAAAATATTCATACAAATTCAGAATTATTTTATTTTTATTGGTCACTTGTTTTTTATTTTTATTTTTTTAGTACAATTGATATCAGTTGTTTTTTTTTTATTGGTAATTAGTTTGAACTTTTGTTTTTTTTATTTATTATTTTGAGAACTGTATGTTTGCTTAGAGTAGATTTTTTTTTTTTGGTATAAATAATAGCTTGAAGGGTGAATTTATGGATTAGATATTAGTGATTAGGTTGGTTTTGAGTTTTTTTTTTTGCTTTTTTTGCACAATTGGTGGGACTTATTTTTTTTATTGATGATTAGATTGAATTTTATTTTGAGTTAACTTTTTCTATTAGAAATTCAACTAACTTTCAAAAGAATGTATATAACCTATTAATTTTTTTTAATGTTTAATATTTGCTCATTTTATCAAATCATACAAAAAAAAAAATTCTCATTTGGGTACTGATTATAGTCTTGTGCTTTTAGTGGTTACACCATTGATGAGATCAATTGTTAAACATGCAAATCTTAAGTAAATAAGCAATTGAAAATAAAAATACACATTTAACACGTAGCATCTATGTATAATAATAAATTCATGTCAAAGCATGCACAACTAAATCAAGACAAAAATTAATTAAAAAGAACAAATATTTAATGATAAGAGATAAGAGAGTGAGGAGATGAGATAATGTGTTTAAAACGTCTAAGAGATAAGAGAGAGAGAGAGTTATATGAGAGATAGAAGTATTAGAATTAAGACCAATTATGATCGTCAGATCAGTATTTATGAGATGATCTGAACCGTTTTTTATGTTGGGATTATCTTATCCGTTGGATATATTTATGTTTTCTCTCAAAATAATCTGAACCTCTCTTTATTTCCAAAATTCAATCTCAATTTTGCTTTATTATATAGATTTTATGGTCTATTCGAGGACAAGAAACGATATAGAAAAGATTAGTATGACCTCTGTGTAAAGATGACACACAAATCGAGAAATTAATCTATATAATAAAGTAGAGTTGAGTTTGAATTTTAGAGACAAAGAGAGGTTTATATCGTTTTGAGACAAAATATAAACATATCCAACAGATAACGTAATTTCAACATAAAAGACGATTCATATTATCTCATAAATATTGATCTGACGATCATAATTGGACTTAACTTTAACACTCATATCCTATGAAGCACGGATACTTCATCAAGGTCGACGTACCCGTATCGGATACGATACTCATCGGATACTTGATGATACGTATCGGATACGCATCATTCGTATCCGATAATTAATAAAATATGTGGAGACTTCGTGGATACTTCTAAACATGGTGTGAGATGTACAATTTTCAATTTTAAGCTATAACCCTTATTTGGAGTTCACATAAATATAAAACATCAACAAAATTCCATCTGATTTTAAAAACACGAATGTTTTTTTAAGTATTATTTATTATTATATGTTAAGAGGGTATAAAAAAATGAATCACTTACACTATACTTTTAAAAATAAATACTTGTAAAACCAACTAGTTAAATGTTATTATAATTCATTTAATTTGTCATGCTCATTTTATGAACAGATCATAATGAGATGATATTATAACTTTTTCATGGTAAAAATTTCTAATTTTACTTACTAATGTTAAAGAATTATTGAAAAATTGTAATTTCTAAGTCGTTAAATAATAATAAAATATAAAATATATTTTATTATATACATATCCTGGCCGTACCCGTATCTTATTTTTTTAAGTTTTGTCGTATCGCCGTATCCGTATCGTATCATACCCGTGTCATGTATCCGTATCCGTACTTCCTAGCTCATATCTTTCATATAACTCTCTCTCTTATCTCTTAGATATTTTAAACACACTATCTCATCTCTTATCTCTTATCATTAAATATTTGTTCTTTTTAATTAATTTTTGTCTTGATTTAGTTGTGCATGTTTTGACAAGAATTTATTATTATATACAAATGTTATGTGTATTGCTATTTTCAATTGCTTATTTATTCAAGATTTGCATGTTTAATAATTAATCCCATCAATGGTGTAACCACTAAAGGCATAAGACTACAATCCATACCCAATTGAGAAAATATTTTTTTTGTATGATTTCATAGAATGAGCAAATATTAAATATTAAAAAAAAATTAGAGGTTTTACACATTCTTTTAAAAGTTAGTTGAATTTCTAATAGAAAAAGTTAACTCAAAATAAAACTCAATCTAATCGCCAATAAAAAAAATAAATCACACAAATTGTGCAAAAAAATAAAAAAAAAAATAATAATTTCAAAACCAACCTAATCACCCCTCAAGCTATTATTTATAGAAAAGAAAAAAAATCTACTTGTAAGCAAACATACAATTCTCAAAATAATAAATAAAAAAAACAAAAACTCAAGCTAATCACCAATAAAAAAAACAACCCATACCACCAATCGCACTAAAAAAAAAAAAAACCAAGTGACCAATAAAAATAAAACAATTCTGAATTGGTATGAATATTTTCGGATCATTTTTTTATTAATTTTCATAATTACTTGCAATTTTTTAGTTTATTATATAATGTTTTTAGACACGGACAATGACTAGTGCGGATACAAGAATAACCATTTAAAGAGGATAAGCCAAAAACCTATATAGAGGATCAAAAGAAAAAGTATTGCATTACATCTTTGATAAGGTTTAACCCATAACCTTCTATTTGAGAAAAAAAAATGACTAATTGATATACAATATTATGAGAATAACGTTAACAAAAATTGCCTATATTTTTAATACAATAGCGTAATTAGAATATTGTAATCTAAACTAATATCTTATGATGTGTTGGCTGGCCTAATTCAATAATATTACTGTAAGTATAACACTTGTGTTTTTTATTAGAGTAATGTTAGTTATCAGTTGTCACGCTATTAGATCAACTAGTTTTCATATCATTTTCCAAAATAATTTTTCGAAATTAGGGTTTGATGGTGGTCTCTCTATTAGATGATGGCAAATGATTTCTGAAATTTAAAGTTGGTATAAAATCAGCAAAATGGTCTCTTAAAAAATCAAAGTCACTATCTTGATTAATAAAGTTTCTTCAATTGTGCAACTCCCTCCTGACATTACTACACCTATATTAGGACTTTAGTTTTGTCATTTCAAAAAGAAAATACAGGTAGCTAGTGGCCAGACAAATGAGAGAAACAGGGGAGATTTTTCTTCAAAAACTAGAGAGAGAAAGTGTGTTTTTTTATTCTACAGTGGTTAATGTTATTGAGACTTAAAAAATTGATATAATATATGTATTAAATGAAAGAATTTTAATAAAAAAATTTAAAATTATAACCAAAATAATATTATTAAACCACGTCACTGTCACGTTGAATTATCCCTATGCAAAATCCACTATATTTTCTCCATCTCTCCCTGTCTTTGTTTATACTCATAGGTAGCTGGTCCCTTTTCCTCAGGTCTCTCTATTCTCGAATAGAGACAGAGACTTGGGAGAGAGAAAAGAGACTGCATATGTTCATAGAGAATCATTTGCCTATGTTTAAAGAGAGAAACAGATAGCTTTAGGCCTGTTTTAGTGTCTGAAAGAAGCAAACCTTCTCTCTGGGTATTTCCTTGGCAAGCCCTTGAAGTTTTCCGCTCTCCAATACTATACTTATGTGCAGGTGTCTTGTTTTGTCACATAACTCATAACCCATATCCCCAAACAAACAAAGCCACATTTAGTAAGGATTCTTTTGGTGAGCTGTACAGATAGAGAGACTTTAATCTGGACATAATTGCCAAGGCACTTTTCATTTATGGTACTGAAAATTTTGGAAAACAAATCTCTGCGGAATTTGTAACCGCTCACTGCAAGCTGTACTCGGTACTCACTAACCAGTAGCACTATCTCAAAAAAGGTAAATATTACATGTCAACCCTCTCCATAAAGTGATCCAGAGCATACTGATTTTGCGGGTATACACACACATTTGGCAGTGCATAAAGCTTTAGTTACTGTATTATAAGGTATATATACCCGACGCAAGAAAGAGACTTCTCACACCATTTATAGAGAGGTTTCTGAATTTGGGTTTTGTTTTCAAGTCTAGTAATAAGCTTTCATTTTCCGGGTTTGTTTTGGTATTTGGCTTTGATTGTTTGTGTCTTCTCTTTTTCTGGTTCAAATCTGTAGGGAAGTGAAGAAGAAGCAATGGTTCCTCAAAAACAAGCTGAAGATGCCATTGTCTCTGGGGGTTTGAACGAGACTGACCATGAAGAAAAAGAGGAAGAGAGGTTAGATCAATCGATGTTTGGCTTTCAAAGCCTTCTTTGGCATGGTGGGTCTGCCTACGATGCTTGGTTCAGCTGTGCTTCAAATCAAGTAATTCTCAAATCACCCACAAAAAAGAAAAAAAAAAAAAAATTAATACCATATTCTTGGTGAACATATTTGTAATTTTTTCTAGATTTTTGTAGGAAAATATTGAAATTTGTGTTTGGTTACAGGTAGCACAGGTTCTATTAACTTTGCCATACTCTTTCTCTCAAATGGGCATGCTTTCAGGAGTGATATTACAGATTTTCTATGGTCTACTTGGGAGCTGGACTGCTTATCTGATCAGTGTTCTCTATGTTGAGTACAGAACCAGAAAGGAGAAAGAGAATGTCAGCTTCAAGAACCATGTCATACAGGTTAGCATTTCTTGTATCAATTTTTATACATTTTCCTATATGCAATGTATGAATTCCTGTATAAAATATGCATATTTTGTGTGTTGATTTAAATATATATTCAGTGGTTCGAGGTGCTGGATGGTTTGTTGGGTCCCTACTGGAAAGCAGTGGGGTTGGCTTTCAATTGCACTTTCCTCTTAATGGGGTCTGTAATACAGCTTATAGCTTGTGCAAGGTTGGTGTTTTCGTTTCATGCTTTTTTTTTCCTTCTATTTGTGCACCCTTTTCCTGGGCGCAAAGGAAAATTAGCAAATGGTTCTGTTTACTTAACACTACAATTGTTAATGCTCATCCCAAAATTTATTCAATTATCAAGTGTATATTTTGTATGACTATGTTTAGTCCCGTTTGGGTTATGTTTATCCGGGTTTGTATTGATTCATTTATTTGATGAATTTGTCGAATTCATTAGTTTACCAACTGGAATCTACTAAAATTAAATTCAAACCCGCCATTGCTGTATTAAGGTTGTGCCTTTTTGTGACTCCATCACTGCAATTGCAAGCCCGATTAATATAAGTACTTTTATTTTTACAGCAATATCTACTACATAAATGACCGATTAGACAAGAGGACATGGACCTACATCTTTGGGGCTTGTTGTGCAACTACAGTATTCATACCATCATTTCACAACTACCGGATTTGGTCTTTTCTGGGGCTTGGAATGACCACATATACTGCTTGGTATTTGACCATTGCAGCCCTTCTTCACGGCCAGGTAATTTATATCAGACAAACAATCCTTATCTTCCCCAACCTTATTTTATGGCCGATGTTTCTATTTTTTTTTTCCCCTGTTGAGCAGGTTGGAGCAGTGACTCACTCTGGACCAACAAAACCGGTATTATATTTCACTGGGGCCACCAATATACTCTACACTTTCGGTGGACACGCAGTCACTGTGTGAGTCTTTCTCCCCAGTTTTATCTATCAATATTACATTCTAAGTATATTATATAGGTCTGTTAATCTTATTGATTGAAATGAGTTCATGTCTTAGCGGATTTGTGTTAAAAAACACTTCAATCATACCCGATTCGTTTATTAATTCGTGTGTAACGGGTTGTGTATGGATCGTGTATATATAAACGAACCGTCTCGTGTATTTTTTTTTATTGGCTTTAACCATACTCTTGATTTGTTTATTAATTGTGTTGGGTTGGGTTTACTTATTTATGAAATGGGTGATTTAAAGAAGACTTAAACCCTTTAATTTCATGTCGTGTTAATGAGTCGTATCATATTTTAACACCTCTAATATTATATAGTTTGAGGAAATCTATTATATACCATAGTCACTAAATTTAACATTTATTATAGTTTTCTCAAATGGACCACTTTGTCCACTAATTAAATGTGAGGTAAAGTGTTAATGTTTGTGGGTTAGAGGATACTTTATCACTACAAAACAAAATCCATGTCCAGATACCAAATTGAATGTTCAAAATCTCATTCCAAGGCTTTTTCTGCGGTTTATTACGATTGTTACAATAAATGAAACATGTGGATTGATCCTTCTTTCATTTGTATTGTTGGGGTGATGAATCGTACATATATTTTTCTGATAAGTGATGGTAAGGGGAACTTGATGTGTGCAGGGAAATCATGCATGCAATGTGGAAACCTCGGAAATTCAAGTACATATATTTGCTAGCCACCTTCTATGTATTCACCCTAACAATTCCATCTGCTGCCTCAGTCTATTGGGCCTTTGGTGACCAGCTCCTCAACCACGCCAACGCCTTCTCACTCCTTCCGCGGACTGGCTTCCGTGATGCAGCTGTGATCCTAATGCTTATCCACCAGGTGTTTGCATAATCTCCTATTTTTCAGATGATTACATATTTAGCCTAATGGACATATTGAATTTACATCGTGGCCATTTGGGTTTCTGTATTGCAGATTATAACGTTCGGATTTGCTTGCACTCCTTTATACTTTGTTTGGGAGAAAGTGGTAGGGATGCATGACACAAAGAGCATTTGTTTAAGGGCTCTTGCCAGGTTGCCAGTGGTGATACCAATATGGTTCTTGGCCATTATATTTCCCTTCTTTGGACCTATCAACTCAGCTGTGGGGGCGCTTTTGGTTAGCTTCACTGTCTACATCATCCCTGCTCTTGCTCATATGCTCACTTTCCGAAAGGCCTCGGCTCGGCAGGTAATCAGTCCATTCTCCACCACCAATCATCTTCATTACCTACTGTCCTGCTGGCATTGTCTACTAGTTGTGTTACTAACCACACATATGTCATTATTTTTTGTCCTTACTTCTAGTGACAGAAATTACCATGACTTCTGTCTTGTGATCGCTCATGCGTGGCTAATATGCAAATTTACATTTGATATTTGGGGGTGTGGTTAACCTGATTATGGACACTAGCCATTCAATTATTAGTATTCCTTCCGACAAGAAATAATTATTGGATGATGAGTAACTCTTGACTAGTACATTTTGGCCAGGGTTACGCATCCATGTTGGGTGCGGAGCCCTTATATTAAACCAGTGGGCTACGTAATTGAGACCTTTTTCAGGTTACGCCAGTAGATTATCCTCTACTTTATCTCCTCGTCTTTCCCAATTCTCTCCAATGCCATGCAGTGGGTGCGTGAACAATTGGAAAAAGGAATAGATATATATTTAGAGATGTAAAGACACTCTCACAAAAATTTCCAACTTAATCATAAGAAGTGTTCGAGGTGATGTCAATGGCGAAAGTTAAGGTTGACAGATCTGTAATTATATTTCACATCTTGGAATTTGCAGGCCAGCAAAGGTAGGGATTAATTTTACTTAGGTTGGTATTAAAGATGTCACGGGAATCAGAAATCTTAGTCTCACATTAAGTTAAGAGTCGTTATCAGCTGCAGTGTACTGTGTCCTTTCCTTGTTAATGGGATATAATTCTCCTACTACTTTGCAGAATGCAGCAGAGAAACCTCCATTTTTCCTCCCAAGCTGGACTGCCATGTATGTATTGAACGTATTTATCATGGCATGGGTACTTGTTGTCGGCTTTGGATTTGGAGGGTGGGCTAGCATGACCAACTTCATCAAGCAAGTTGACACTTTCGGCCTCTTTGCCAAGTGCTACCAGTGCAAGCCCCCACCAGAACATCACTGACCATGGTTCAAGTGACATTACTCTAACTATCTTTGTTTTGTGTTATAGATGTGTGCTATCTGCGCATTGGTGATGATTTCTTAGGCACCCAAACCGCATAATTTACTCTCTTTGCAGTGATACATATGTTTTGGATGCGTTGGTTATTATGCAGTGTTGTATATGTTTTACATGTCCTACCTACACAATTGAACCTTTCGGTTTTGATAAAACCGAACCGAATTAGTGATGAACAATCAAAATTTTCTTGTCTTAGAAATGTTTTAAGATGCGTCGGAATGTTTACATTGCATATGTTTCCTAATCAATATTTTGAATCTTTCTCTCCATTCTATTTCCGAAATATTTTTTGAAATATGTTTATTTCCGAGCTCACCGAAACTATACATCGAAATCATTACCTGAGCATTGTTTCATTTGTAATTTCAAATCCATTTGACATGTGAGTCCACATGTATAATTTTCTCATTCACATTTAGCAGATGCATGTGTGTCGTTTTGCTAAAAGTGTGATGTTTTGAAACAAAATGCTTTTGGGTACATTGACAAACAACAGGAACTTATTTATCCTCTTGTAGGGTTTTGACTAGTCAAATACAACTTAGACAAGGGGGGCCTTCATGCATGTGATGAGCTAAACGATTGTTTTCTTTTGTTTGGTGTTTGTAGCTTTCATCTTTATTCTCATGCCCTGAATAGTTCTTAAATTCTTTTTTTTTCTTTGTAACTTTCATCTTTGATCCTAATCTGTTACTATTAAAACTGAAATAGACATGCCCAGAAGTTGCATTTCCCAGAAATAAACATAGTCAGTCCATAATAGCTTTATACCTCATGAATTTCCTAGTTTCGGTGTGGATGACTTATCTTTAACCAGACTAGAGAGGGAATTAGTTGATGTGCGCATAAGTTGGTTCAAACACTCCTGATGGTTGAATAAAAAATAAAAAGTTGCATTTCCCATTTTTCGTTGATCGGGCCCTTTTTTCGATTTTTGTTGTATGTTGGGATATTCTGAACGTACAGTGTTGTGAATGAACAATGGAGAAGTAAAAATAATTAACATATGGTATACGTGGTGCAGTAGAAATTTTACTTTGACCACGGACTATTTCCTACAAGAAAAGCGAAATCATTCATATGATCAGGGACAGAGCATAGTTATGGCTCGGGAGCATTGAGTGACCCATCAATTATAGATTTTTGGAGATTATAGATTTGACTCTGCCAAAGTTCTTTCACTTCCTGTAAAGACTACTCTGTAGTCCTTTAGTACTTCTCCATTTGGTGAATTGAATGATTACATGAATAACTGGCCATTACAGATATGTGTGAGAGAGAGCAAAATATAACTGATGGTATCATGAATATGTTCAAGGTTGAGCTCGATAATGTATGTCATGTTTATTTAGGTCGGGAGTTTAGCTCATTCATGTTATATGTAGACCTCGACTTTAGACCTCAAACTCCTTGTGTCTGCATCTCAAGAAAAGCTGTGCAGAGGACAATTGGATTCCACCAAATACCCAATTTGTAACAACAGTTGTTCAGCAGAAGCAAGTTTCGTAACTGCCCTAACACCCATAGCAGTCGTTGCGCAACAAAGGCGGCTATTACAAGGGAGGGGTAAGGATCTCGCCTCAAATCAAGCTAGACCTAAGAATAACTATTAATAGGAGGCAAAGCCCTTGATAGAAACAATAAACCATTGTAACCTCGCTATAATACGTTCTGTAAACTCTCCAATAATTAATATATTCAGGAGCAAGAGACTTCCTTGAAAGTGGATTAGTCAAGCTCTTGAACTGATGAATCACTATAAACACTCTGTGTGATCATCCCTTTTCCCAGATCCTATTCGCAAGAGCCTTGTAACTCAGACCGAACTAAACTTAATTATTCAGTGCACTTTATATTCTCATCATTGCTCAATTGTATTAAGAACATCATCAATAATAGAAAAGAGAAAATTGTCTGGGATTTGTCTAATGTTTTATAAGCTTTTCGAGTTGTTCGTATGGGAACAGTCCAATGACTCATTCTTATAAATAAAAGTCGTGTGAACAGAGTATGATTTTTCTAAAAAAACTTGCCCATAAAATAAGACTTTCTTGTGAGGACAAAATATAACAGAGGGGGAAAATTGTTTGGGATTTGCCGAATGTTTTAAGTTTTTTGTGTTGTTCATATGGGGACAGTTGAATGACTCATTCCTATAAATCAGAGTTTACAAAACTCGGGTACGATTTTTCTTAAAAAAAAAAAATAGTCCATAAAGTGAGACTTTCTTATGAGGAGGTAAGCTATAAAAATGATTTATCATCCAAGAAATAGGATGGATAAAGGCAATCTGATAGGTAACAGGAAACGTGGGTGGATGCTGTTTTTTCATGGCCTTCTAAGGTTTTTAGTCTTAAAGAGAAGAAGATATCAATCCTTTTTGCTTTTCATACTTTTTCACTTTTAAACACCCATCTTTATAAAAAGAAAAAAGATAAAGCAGGCAACAATGGTTTTCACTTATCCGTGATGATCTGGTCCATTCAGATTCAAACCACCCTCTCAGAATCAACGTACATAAATTTATAGCCCAACCCTTTTTGTGATTGTTTAAGACCCTATAATCTGATCATTAAAAAAAAAATAGTGAAAATTGGAAGTGAGTCCCCTTAAATGTACTTGTTTTGAGATAAGTCCCGTAAAAAAACTTACAAGGAATTAAGTCAATGTTTAAAATTATATATAATGACTTAAATCCATTTTTTTTTATTTCAAAAATACCCTTTCTTGAAAGGAAGTTAATCTTTTCTTTTTCATATCTATTTATATCCTGATATTCATATATAGGTTAAGAGTTTGACTAACATTAAAATTTTTCTTCTCTCTTATCTATCTATCTATCTATCTATCTATCTATATATATATATATATAGTAACATTAAATAAAATAGTAACATTCAAATACAAAAAAAAATTACTGTGAATTTGAATAATAAAATTAAAATTTAAGTTACTATTTTTTTTATTATGTTACTGTTCATGTTACTGTTTTTGTTGAGCATGTTACTACCATTATATTCCTAAATATTAATATTCAATGTTACTATTTTTTTTTGAATATTAATATTTTTTGTATTTGAAGGGTACTATTTTTTGTGTTTGAATTTGAGAGAAATAGATATTGTTGAATATGTTACAGTTTTTATTAAACATGTTACTATTTTTGTTGAACATGTTAATATTTTTGTTGAATATGTTAGTGTTATTATTTTTTAAAAATATTAATATTGAATGTTTCAATTTTTTTTTATGTTTAAATGTTATTATTCTTTTGTATTTAAATGTATTATTTTTTGTGTCCAAATGATAATTTTTTTTTGTATTAAAATGTTACTATTTTTTATTTTTAATGTTATTCTCTCTCTCTCTCTCTCTCTCTCTATATATATATATATATAGATAGATAGATAAGAGAGAAAAAATTTAATGTTAGTCAAACTTTTAACCTATATATAGATATTAGTTATTGCCTAAAGGCACAGAGTAATAAAAAATGATAAACAATAAACATATTTGTATTCATATCCAAAATTAAATCATAAAATATAGAGAAGAGATAAAGAAATTTAAACATTAGTTTTATAGTAGAGGGGTGAGAAGTGGTGAGTGGCAGTGGTGGTGGTAAGAAACGGTGATTGTTGTGGTGGGTGACTATGATTGTGGTGGCGGCAAAGGTGCCGATAATGATGGTGATGGCGACAATGCTGATGGTAGTGATGGCGGTAGCAACGGTGATGGTGGTGGCAACGATGGTAGTGGGAGTGAGGGGTGGCGATGACGACGACAATGATGGTGGCAGCGACGATAGTGGTGGGTTGGGATGGCGGTAGTTGCGGTGACAGCGACAACAACGGCAGCGGTGGGGGGTGGTGGTGGCGGCGACGATGGTGGTAGTGGTGGTGGCGTTGGTGGAGTTAGGGTGGTGGCGGTGGTAGTGGTGATGACGGTGGTGGTGGCGATAGTGGTAGTGATGATGGTGGCGGCGGCAATGATGGTGGTGGTGGTTGTGATAGAGATAGTGGTGAGACGGTTTTAAACACTACTTTTTTTAAAGTATTTATGAGAAATAATTTTTAAAAAGTAATTCCAAACACACCCTTAAAAACATATTTTTCTTATTAAATTTAGGGTGTTAATATTAGCCGTTAGATTAATTTTAACGTAAAATTTAAAGGGATCTCAACCACGAATAACAAAAGTCATTTTGTTTATTTTTTGAGATTTGAATTATAAGCTATTTTATTATATAGATAGAAAGATGTGTGAGAAAAAAATTTTTAATGTTAATTAAACTCCTAAGATTTAAGAGTTTTAAATTTTTAGTTTTATTTCACTTCTAAAAGGAAGAGATAGTGTAGTAAAATTAACAAAAAATGGACTTCATAACAAATAAGTTTCCTTGATGGATTTAAATTTAAACAAGTTCATATATGAGAATCGACCTCCAAAATTTTCAAAAAAAAAACTCAAAATGGGCCGGTCACCAAGTTAAGTTGTCACTATGGCTGGCAATGGTCCAGGCCTGGACAGCCAGCCCATAAAAAGGCGGCCCAAACTATAGCCGCAGGCCAGAGATACCTAAGATTCTTGTGTCTTTTAGCTAAAGATATATAAACTTCCAAACCCAAAAATGAGAAAATTACAAATTAATTTGGATGAGCAGAACAGAACCTCCTCTCTGTTTTTACCCCTCCCAAAATACAAGCCTATACGATATGCTTATTTTTTTAACTTTATTTTCTTAATATTATATGCTTTAACTTATTGTTACTTTTTTTAAAATTTTTTTTATTAAAAAATATTTTGAAAATAATTTTTTACGCATGGTGCTAAGCCACGCCATCATTGAAGCAACATTAAATTGAAAATAATGATAAATTTGTGAAAGGCTTAATTATACTGGAGGTCCCTAAAGTATGAAATTTGTCTTATTTTAATTT